TTTAATGAGTACTACTTACATGTTGAAATAGTAATTTGTTGACATATTGGGTTAAATACAATTATTATAATCAATCTGACTTGTTTCTTTTTAACTTTTTAATATGGCTAATAGAAAATTCAAGTAGTATATGTGGCTATTTCCAGAAGGTTCTTCCTGCTATTATTACATTTTTGTAGGATAGGTTGAGGGTATGTTTCAGGAAAGATAAGAGGTAGAGGGGTTGATCTATTGTGGTTAAATGATAATACTAGGTTTTAAATGGTTAAATTTTTGTTCTGAAAACTCTCTTTTACTTTGCAAGTTAAATATCTTGGTCCAGTATTTTGGAATTCATAAAATGCAGGAAATTTGGGATGCTGCAATATTTTATGCTCTCCGGCATTTTCTCAGTTGTCATTGAATATCCTGGATTGCTGAATAGCCATAGATTCCTGCCTGCACATGACAGCACCAAAATAAGAAAAATTGCTCAGAAAGAAGAAAATATTGTAATTAAGGAATTGCGTTATTTGATATGATGATATTACGGGAGTCGAGTCAAGCTAACTTTGGTCTTGACTCTCTTATTGGAAATTGAAGACATCTGGGCTGTTTTGTGTCTGTACTCATCTACTAGCAGGAAATAAATAACTTGACTCTAATCAGTATGAGAATCATATGAAATGACTCAGGAATTCTAAGATATTAACTAGTTTTGGCAACAAGCGTGAAATGAAGACTCAATTCCAAATGGTTTTAAAATTTAAAGACAATTACAATTTAATTTAATTTAAAAATCATCCTATTCTCCGACCAGCAAGTTAATGAGCTTTTTCTTTCCTTTTAGAAAAGCTACAGAAGCTGAAATGTGACTCCTCTTTCTGCTGTTGTTCAAAATTGGTACAGGTTTACAGGCTCCCTTCCCAGAGTCGTGTCTCATCACTTCTGAGAGCAGGGAGGAGCACAGACAGAGACATTATCCTGGTGTTTGGGAGTGACAGAATACCAAAGGAAACATCTCCTGATACAGGTCCTCAGATACACAAGTGCTCCATCTCCCTCCATGTCCAGCAGGACTCACGTTGGTCTGAACTTTCTCTTGTCTAATGAGCTTAGGAGAAAATTTAGAAATAACATTGAGGGTTTATGAAAATGAGGGAATTAAGAAAATGAGTTTCATAGAGCACAAGAATCTGTCAGGGACTCTAATGGGAGGAACGCAGTCTCATGAGACAGAAGAAATGGGATGTGGGGCTGATTTTTTCTAGGATTGGAAAACAAGTCCTTGTTGCCAGATATCGTAGCAGAGACAGATGGCGTGGCAGATGCCGTGAAAGAAAAATGACTTACTACTAGGTGAACCAGAAAAAATAAACAAGAAGGACCGAGGAAAAAGTACAAAAGTTCTCGTCTGCTGTCAGGCGCATCTTCCCGTCGCCCTAAAGGGTGTAACTGTATTGGGTAGGGTTGCAGATTGCAAAGTGTCTCAGCCTTTTCTCTATTGATTGCACATTTAGAATTTGTAGACATTCTTTGGAGAGGACTCACTTTTAGTCAATTGATTTTCTAAGAAGGACGGTATGGCAACAACTAATTGGATATATGATGCCGATATATTATAAAGAAGATGCTGTAGTTAATTTTTTTTGGGGGGGGGCTCCATTGGTTGTTACTTGATAGGTAGAAACTGGATGGAACTCATCTTGGTTTATTTTTAATGTGCTCCCAATTAACATTCGTGGTACGAACCACATGAATGCAGTTGTTATTTTAGAAACATTTAAATGGAAGTTATTTAAAATGCCTCTTAGACATCCCCAGGATGAGAACACACATGACCCTTGACACATGCATGGTTTGTGTCTGGAAACTCTGCAGTGTCCCCAGGTTCTGGGACCTGACTCTTGTGATCCATGATGGAGAAGAACTGGTACTGAGTTGGTCTGGGCATTCTCGTTTGGAAGGTGCTTAAGTCCCCTGGGTTTTAAAAGGCACCTCAGCAAAAGGAAAAGGTGTGCTGTGGCTCTATAGAGTTGAATAAAAATAATCTACAAATGCTAAAAGTTTGTGGATCTAATATATGTGGATTTAGAGTATGAAAATCCAACAATATATGTTTGGCAACCACTGTTGTGTCACTGATATCAAATGGAAATGGATGCCATGGAGCCTAAAATAACCAATGTGAGTTGTTGAAACAAGAAAGTGTTTGTGTGTATGATGTTAAGGATTGTCCTGCCATTCCTAAAACAAAAGGAGAACTGGATAACTACCTAGGGATGTTTTGTTCACTACCTTTAGAGAAGAAATTGGATAATCAATTAGACACTATAGAGTAACATTCACTAAAGAAGAGTTACTGTAGGATTTTCACAGGTAGTCTGATTTTATGTAAAATTTACCTTATGTATGGTTTTGGAAATGATAGTCCTTTTCAGGTAGACCCCATTGTACATGTACAACTTTTATCACATGCACCATCTATAAAATCAGGGGGAAGTGAATCCTAACAGGGAATCCAGAAAGCCCTCATACACCATCCCTCCCCCCCCCCATTTTTAGAGGGGTAATGTGCCCAGTGCCACCTGCCAACCCTTGTCTTTTGATCTTGCATTTCTTCTGTCTCCCAGGTTGGTACTTTCCTCTGTGACAGGGGAGAAGGCTGACGTAGAGAGTTTGCCTCCAGAGATGAGTGTCAAACTCTGGGTTTCCACTGGGCTCACCTTGCAACAGATGAGTATACCAAGGTTGAGGATGAACATTTTCTGAAGGCTGGGAAAACTCGCATGGAAGCTATTTCAATCCGAAACAAGTTCTGTAAGTGGAATTGTCTGTGAATATCCCTGTTAAGTCCTCTAGAGTAAGTTCTAATGTTTGATAGCAAAGTAGGGTGACTACAGTTTTCAAAATAGCTAGGTGAGAAGACCTGAAACGTACCCAACACACGGAAATAAGGGCTTGGGTGATGGATACTCTAAATGCCTTGACGTGGTCAGTACACACCCTACTCTTGTGATAAGACTTCACATGTGCCTCCTAGATGCGTGTGATGCAACAACAATAAAGCTCGGAGCTTGATGCACCTGCCAGGGCGGGTCCCCTGCAGTGGTAGGGAGGGCAGGCTACATTCCACCACTGATGGGTGGTTGCCCTGGCTACATAAGGCCACATTCCTTGACCTCATTGACAAATGTCAAAGGCCCACTGTTTAACACTCTTCACCATGCTTCTGGACTTGGACAACAACTCGCGATAAAATAGCTCCCTATTCTGCTTTGTGGAATTTTATGTAAAAAACTTAGGGAAAATGTAAATTTTCCAAATGCCATAGTTACAAACTCCATCTGGCAGCAGTGATTTTTTCCTTAACGCTTTGAAGCTCCCTTTTAATACATTTCAACATGTAATCAATATCGATATGAGACATCATTATCTTGCTACGACCACCTAATTTAGCTCTCAAAGGAGAATTTCCTCCTTCTTCTATGGGTACAATGCAAATTATGATTTCTGTCTGTGAGACTCCTACATTATGTCCCTAAATCAAAGGTAGCGGGTAGGATAAAAAAAAATAAACCTTAAGTGTTCTTCTGTCCCATACATGCTGTAATTGCAAACAACGTGATGTAGTTCCAGAGAAGGAGGCAGCCACTAGGCACCCCAAATAAGAAGCTTTTCCAGTCTTTTATAGACTCAATAAGTGGCATTTCCTGTGACACTTTTGCTGACCACATAGCCTTTACTGCTCTGTTTTAGTGTGTCACTGAGAATTGCATGACAATCATATTATCCTTACAATAAACACTTCTCATACTAACAAAAATGTTTCTGATTTGGTTTATCGCACACCTACTCTTTGTTTGACCAAGATATGCAGCGTTATGTCATTTCTCTGGGTCATTTCCAACACTGACACTGCTTTCTAAAAAAACTAATATACACAGAATCAAGAAAGCAGAAAACTCTGGGAGAAAATTAGATATAAAGATATATATAATGTATATAATATAATATTATATTATATATATAATATTTCTGTGTAGTTGGGAAAGAGATAAATGGCAAGGAAAAGGATTTTCATACTTTTAAAAAAAGTATAGTACTTCAATTACTTCTCCTTCTGTAAACCTATAGCACGCATAAATCTTCACAAAACCCACCTTCTAAGGCCCTATCCTTTGAATCACCAAGGTCAAAGATACCGTCAATATGATTTTATGTGGATTACAGTCTTCTAATTCTTTGAAAATTGGTCATCTGCATATGTGGTAAAATGCAAATAACCAGAACATTTCTTTTTTTCCTCTTTTCCCCAAATAGCTTCGTTGTCAGTCACCTAAGTGTTAATCCATATGATTGTCAACTTCAATTAATAGGCACATTCTTTTTAATTCCTCCTCCCAAACTGTTCTCTTAAGCAATCTAGGCAGGTTCCAAAATTAAATGTAAATTGAAGAAAATCTGGTTCTGAAAGCTTCCAATGGAAAAAGCTTAAAGGACAGGCTTCAAAAAGTTGTAATAGAAAGGGGATACGATGTTGCAGCTCTTTGACAACCAACAGTCCAACTAAGATGAGGCAGTATTTTGAAGCAGTGGCTCCTATTGAAACTCAGCCCGCGGCACTGCTTAGCACTGCAAGCTAATCAGACTTGAAGTTATTATAAAAGAGAAAAACCCTTGGAGGACTTACTCTGAAATAACGATGGCTGGATTATGAACTTCCCCTCCAATTAATTTTATTGTTTTGGTTGATGAGATCACAAAAGTGAAATGAACCTGGAAAAAATGAGTACTGTAGCCACAAACCTCAGGCCTTCAGCTGCTCGGTAAAGGAAGCTGAGGGGGCAGCCCTGGCTCTGGGGAGAAATCTGAGGCTGGCAGGGAACCATCAGGAAGGCTTTTAGTTTTCATATTTGATCAGATCAGTCTGAATATTTTTCATTTCCTAGTGCGAGTAGAATACACTCTCAAGCCAGAATCAATGATCCTAGAGTCGTTGATTAAGTTTCTTCACTCACCTTCCATGGGTGTGTTGCTGTCTGGTCGATTTGCAAAGACCACGTCCACATACTCAAGCTGCAGCCTCTGGAGGGACCCCTTTAATCCTGTAGAGAGAAGCAGAAAAACCCCAAGTCCAAACATGAACACTATTAGGAAGAGTTGAAGTTTGGCTCCCTTCTAGAATTTACTTTTTTTAAAGACAGAGTCTTACTCTGTTGCCCCAGGCTAGAGTGTGGTGGTATCAAAGCTCATAGCAACTCCAAACTCTTGGATTCAAGGGATCCTCCTGCCTCAGCCTCCCGAGTAGCTGGGACTACAGGCTCCTGCCACAGTGCCTGGTTCATTTTTCTATTTTTAATAGAGACCGGGTCTTACTCTAGCTCAGGCTGGTCTAATACTCCTGAATTCAAGAGATCCATCTGTCTTGGCCTCCCAGAGTGCTGGGATTACAGGCATAAGCCACTGTACCAGGCCAAGAATTTGTTTTTGAAAAATAGCATTGGCTTAGTTTCAAAAATGCACTGAATATAATGAAGTCTTAATTGGCCCCTAGAACCTCCTCTCTCTC